GGTCACAGTTTGATGTAGGTTGTTGTGTCGGTAAGACCCAAAGGCACAAACACATAGAAGTAAACAGAGTCGAGCAGGAGGATCCTGAAAGCTAACAATGAATGTTATTGGGTGTAAGAGATGCCCGACCCGTGGCAGCAGAATGTCACAGACAGTTTATGTCTCTTCAGCACTGTGTCTGTTTGCTACACCCCCCCTCAGCTTTCTGCTGGGTTTAACCAACACTTTGGTGCTCACACACATTAACTGTGGCCGACAATAACTGTAAAGTATTCAGACTCAGTTACATCATGCCCACCGCGCTCCTTCTGGTTCGAGAATAAAGAAATCTCCTCATGAGCTCTAAATAAACATGGATCATTCACTGACGGACCCCTCCAGGAGTTTTGGAACAGCAAGGCAGCTTCCTTTGTTTCAGTTGTTCGTTTGAGTTTAAGATCAAAAGATGAGAACGAGACAAGAGTCCAGATTTTCAGCTTTTATTTCCTGGTGTTTACATGTAGATGTGTCCAACAATTCATGCTGCCGTGAGACCAACCGCTCTCCAAGTGATCAGAACTATTGGAACGTGTGACTGACAGGTGTTTCTTGTTGACCATGTTGCCTTTCAGGTTGGTTGTTCAAACATTAAATAGCTCCACATGGCTAGTCTTCTTTAATAGTCTGGGTTTAACCCTATAAAAACTGTTTCTTGTTAAAGAGGATAAACCAACATGAAGACCAGAGAGAGTCTGTGAGAGAAAAGAAAAGCATTTTGAAGCTGAGAAAAGAAGGAGAGTCGATCAGAGCCATTGGACAAACATTGGACGTAGCAATCACAACAGCTGGGAGTGTCCTGAACAAGAACGAAAGTAGCGGTGTGCTGAGCAGCAGACGCCCAACAGGTCGGCCAAGGAAAACACCAGTAGCTTCCATCACCAAGGACCTCCACAGTGCAGGGGTGAAGATCTCAATCCACCGTCCAAAGACTCCGAGAGCAGAAATATAAAGGCCCAACCACAAGATGCAGAGCACTCATCAGCAGAAGAATCAGACAAGAACTGCATACAGCTCATCTGTGAAGCACGGTGGAGGTAACTTTGTGGTTTGGGCGTGCACGGTTGCTTCTGGAACAGGCTCATGAATATTTACTGATGATGGTAGCAGCAGAATGAATTCTGAAGAGGACAGAAACTTTTAGGAGCAATGCCACAGAACTAACTGGGAGGAGATACCATACCATACCACTTTATTTATAAAGCACTTAAAACATCTACAAGGCCAACCAAAGTGCTGTACAGACAAAACAACAGGAACACACAAAGCAAAATACAAAAGAGATGAGATGACCCAAAGGACTTCACTGGAGGAACAAAGTGGAAGGTTTTAAACTGGCCAAGTTTGTCACCAGACCTGAACCCAGTAAAGAACACATTTTACCTCCTGAAGAGGCGACTGGAGGGAGAACCTCCTGAAACAAACCAGAACTGAAAGAAGCTGCAGTAAAAGCCACAAATGAAGAACGCAACAGTTTGGTGATGCCCATGAGTCGCAGGATTCAGGCAGTTGCTGCAAGCAAGGCTCATGCCACTAAACATTAAATGTTATTTACTTTAAGATTGTTTGTTCTTTTACTTTTGTTCACCTATACTGTGGTCTCAGTCAAACGGTGGCATGTCCTGAGCTGTTGAACACGACTACAGGTGAATACCATGAAGTAAAAGCTGAAATTCTGAAGTCTCGTCTCATACTCATCTTTTGATCTTAAACCCAGACGTCCAGTGAACAACAACAACAACAACAACAACAAAGGAAGTTGCCTCGCTGCTCCGATATTCCTGGAGGGATCTGTCGACTTGCTGTTTAAATACTGAGGAAAACTGAAGCAGGTTTGGACTTAAAGGCCGTTTGCCCATGAATGATTTGGTGTGCGTGAACAGAAAGGCTGCACGTGAAGAAGCTCCAGTACGAGTCAGAAAACGTTCTCATTGTTCATGTTGGAGCAGCACAAACCATTCATCTGCTCAGAGGACCGGCAGCCGTGGGTTGGGTGATGTGAAATATTTACAGCACAGGAAGTGGAAAACCTGATTCTGACCCTGAGAATTTAAAAAGGCTCTGACTGAAAAAGCTCCAGGATTTTCAGACGGAACAAACATTTGTAAATTAAAAGCTCTAAGACAACTCTGAAGCTACACTTCAGGTTTAACAAATAATTAAAAGGAAAGTTTGAGCTTTTTTGAACAGCTTAACATTTTCCATTGTATTTTTTATTAGTGCAAAGTGATCATCAACACATTCACTTTACTAATGGAAAACAAAAACACAACAATTACCAACAATTAAAAAGAATGAAAGAATAAATGCTATAAAAAATCTTTCTAAACAAAGCCCAAAGATCCTGATTTTCCAAGTGCAACATTAATCTACAGGCAGTGTGAAAAAAGCTGAAGATTGAAGCATATGAATGCCCACTCCTCTCACATGACTTTATTTCTCTAAAACAAAATAAATCTACAAAATCAACTGATTTAAATGTTCATATTCAAATCACAGGAGCAGCAAACAAGCTGTGTTCATCGTACAGAAGCCAGGGCCCCTTCTTGTTTTATAACGAACACTAACCAATGCCCATAACTTCATGTCATTTAAATTTAAATTAAAACCCAATACTGATTTTAGTTTACAACTCATTAATAAGATCATTCTCTTTGACTCCCAAAACTGAAACATGTCTATGTGCCCCCCCCCCCTCCCCCCCCGACAGGACGGTGGAGTTGTGGGTGAAGCAGGCGGGGCACTCAGTTCTGTTGACAGGGCACTCAGTTCTGTGGGTGGGGCACTCAGTTTTGTGGGCGGGGCACTCAGTTCTGTGGGCGGGGCGCTCGGTTGAGCAAAGGCTTCTGGGACGGTTACTTTGCGTGTAAGTTTGACGACGTCTTATTAATTTTTGTTCCATCCCAGTCATTCAGACGTTGAGGGTCTGCCTGAGGTTGGGAGGTGTCAGGAACAGGAACTTCTCCTCTCAGACCTTTTTGTCCATGTGCTTTTGTGATAGTTCCCTGCTTGTGGCCATCAAGATTTGTATTTGATTCTTTTGACTCAAGTATGAGATTTTACTGTGTCGATGTGCAGTACTTTTTATTTTGACAGTTTGACACAAACTAGTCTTTCTGTTTGTGC